GTCTCCGATATGCAGTGAAAACTCTAATTGAAATAGAGCCCTGGGGGGCCTCCACGAGCCAGCTCCCAGGACACACGGTGCCCACGCCTGTGCTCATCGGGACCGTTCACGCTGTGAAAGAATTCTTAGCTGGAGTACACACAACACAACACAACACAAACCCTGGGACTTTATAACATCCAACAGCACAGTATTTTCACAAACCAAATTATTTGCGGGGAACATAAAAGTCAACAGCATCTGTGTCTGAAATTAACTGGGTCACGGAACGACGCTGTAGCTTATTTCGCAGGCTGGTGAATCCAGGCGGAGTGCTTTTACCTTGTCACAGTGTCGGATGATCGCTCCAGCTCCTCACACTCCATGTGGAACACGCTGGAAAAGGAATCCTGGAAACACAGCGACAAGGCCGGAGTAAGTGTGACGAGGCTGTACCAGGCGTCCGCGCGCAGACAAGGGCCTGAGGAACGACCGCGCTGGTGTTTGTTACGTCTGTCTACTTACTCTCCGAGGGAACTGGACCGAGCGCTCACGTCACCGCATCAGGCTACTAAAGCCATGTTCCTACAGCTTCTGATCGCCACTGCCTAGAATGCTTCTTTGAGCACTCTTTTCTTTTTCTACCAGGTGTCAATAAATGTTAGCTTCAAAATTTCTCTATATTTCTTCAAAACCCTCCAGTTCCTGCCTTCATGCAGACATCGATTGCTGCTGCTAGATCCCAGGAGAGGAATGGCTTTTTGGAAAGACATCCCATGCAGCCATATTCTGTGAGAGCCAAACAATTGGGCAGGTTTGAGCAACAGAGAGAAACGCTTTTGAAGTTACACTGAAAAGCAGGTACATATTTGCAGCCGAGCTATACTCGCGGCTGAATAAAGAATCGGAAGGAAGCAGGACTAAAACACTGATGTGAGCGTGATGCGGGGACAGGAGAGAGAAGTACGTGTTTTTTTTTTCTGGCTCACATTTTGATTTTGGCTCACGCTGTTGAAATACTTTTAATCGGTAACTAACTGCAACATAAATCAAGTCACTTAATTCCCTATCGAAACCCAACAACCCAAGTTGTTAAAAGTGAGCAAAGTGCATCAGCGGGCCTGTGGCTGGGCTTTATTCAAAGCACCAGGGAGCCGAGGCAGACGCTGCCATGACAGGGTTAACCGGGGAAGCTTGAGCCAAATGCTAATCACATTTCCTGTGTCTGAAAAAGGGGGGGCCTCCTATATAACTTTCCAACAACAAATCGCAGGGGAAACGTGCTAAGCTGACAGACTGCATTAGTGAGTGCTGACCTGAACTTTAAAAGGGTGGCTACTCTCTTATAATCATCTCTACATTACAGGTTTTATAACTGATAAAGCATATGAAGTGGTATCTACGAGAATACCGGTTATCTTACAGCATAGAGAGTTCCTAATTGATATCCTATTAATGAGAATAACACACACACACACACACACACACACACACACACTGATTTGGATAATGTTGGGTCCTACAGTGCAATCTTACTACCTAAAACAATGTAAAGACTTTACATATAAGTATTAAATATATTTTATTCTGCTTTCTCCCAAAAACATGAGCTCAGATATCACACATGGTGGAAGCTGACTGATACAAGTGGTGACCCCACTCTCTTTCCCACTAACCCCCCAATAAGGAGCCTATCGCCAGGGTCTAAAGGGAAAAGAAGCGGAACAAGGACATCAAACAGAAGTCTCCTGGCAGCAGTGGTTCACAGGCTGAGAAGGGAAAGACACTGCAGAAAGGAAAACTGCCTTCGGCCAGGGGCCCCGATTCTAACAGCAAGCGCGGCTGGCCCATCGAGAGGCAACCAGCCCCCTACGAGAACCACCTCTCACACATCTCTTTCTTATTTTTAAAATATATTTTTTATTGATGTCAGAGAGGAAAGGAGAGAGAGAGAGAGAGAGAGAGAGAGAGAGAGAGAGAGAGAAACATCAAGGAGGAGAGAGAATCATGGATGGGCTGCCTCCTGCACACCCCACACTGGGGATCGAACCCGCAACCCAGGCATGCCCCACACTGGGAATTGAACTGTGACCTCCTGGTTCCTAGGCCGATGCTCAACCACTGAGCCATGCCAGCTGGGCCACACATCTCTTTCTTGCTTTTTCTTTTTTTAATCCTCACCCAAGGATATTTTCCCATTGATTTTTTAGGCAGAGTGGAAGAGAGAGGAAAAGACAGAGAGAAACATCGATGTGAGAGAAACACATCGATGGGTTGCCTCCTGCATGAGCCCTGACCAGGGCCCGGGCCAGGGAGAAGCCTGCAACCAAGGTGCATGCCCTTGACCAGAATCAAACCCGGGACCCTTCAGTCCGCAGGCCAAAGTTCTATCCACTGAGCCAAATAGGCCAGGGCCCATCCCTTTCTTTACGTTACAAATCGGTGGGCTGAAATTTACCACTCAGAACTGTTTGGTGGCTTCCCATTGCTGGTAAAGGATTGGGGACCCACAGGCAGCTTTAATAATGCAGCCTCTCTTGGGCCATCCCTTTGGATTTTAAAGTATTTCCAGCAAAAGATAACATGGCCCTAGCCAGTTTGGCTCAGTAGATAGAGCGTTGGCCTGTGGGCTGAAAGGTCCCGGGTTCGATTCCTGTCAAGGGCACATGCCTGGATTGCGGGCTCAATCCCCAGTAGGGGGTGTGCAAGAGGGAGCCGATCCATGATTCTCTCTCATCATTGATGTTTCTATCTCTCTCTCCCTCTCCCTTCCTCTCTGAAATCAATAAAAAAATAAGTAAATAAATAAGATGAGAAACCTATTTAAAAAAGAAAAGGAAATGTGCTACCCAACCCGTTCAGAATGGGGATCTCCCTGCTCCTAGCAGCCATGGCACTGCTCTTCCAACCATGGGAGGTCAGCCCTAACGACAATGCATTTCCCCATCGAGGCCATGGAGCCGCTGACCACAGCAGCATAGGACACGCCCAGGGTGACCGCTTTGAGGAGGGACACTGAGGCACCCTCTCCCCACCCCTACCTGTCTTCAACCAGGACAGGTCTACTGTCATCTGCTTTGCATGACCAACCACACAGGGTTTAGGAGAGGGTTCGAGGCTAACATGGGGTTTACAAGCAGTGGCCCAAGGAATCTCCGTTTCTGTCTTTCTAACAAGAAAAAAGCCATACTCTGTACTCACGGAGCAGTCTCCATCCACGATGAAGATGGTGCACTTCTGCACCTGCATGAAGGAGATAATCGTGGCAGCGATCTTCTTCAGAATGACCTCCAAGGACTGCTGCTCTTCAAAAATCAGGCTGGCCAGGTCAAGCAGCACCTGACAAAAAGACACCACAAGCTTCATATTTAGTAACTAGAGGCCCGGTGCACGAATTCGTGCACCAGTGGGGTCCCTCGGCCTGGCTTGCAGGATTGAGCTGAAACCGGCTCTCTGACATCCCCTAAGGGGTCCTGGAGTGTGAGAGGGTGCAGGCCAAGCCAACAGACCCCACTGGTGCATGATCGGGGCCGGGGAGGGATACGGGAGGTTGGACAGCTGGGGAGGGACTGTGGGAGGGCTCCAGGGCATATCTGACCCCTCTCGCTCAGTCCCAATTGGCCAGACCTCAGCAGCAAGCTAACCTACCAGTCGGAGCGTCTGTCCCCCAGTGGCCAGTGCACGTCATAGCGAGCACTTGAGCGACTTTAGCATATCATTAGCATATTATGCTTTGATTGGTTGAATGGACAACTGGACGACCAGACACTTAGCATATTAGGCTTTTATTATATAGGATTGCTTGTGACCACTAAAGCAATATAATGATATATATGAGCTATATGTTGTTTATATATATTTAATCTAACATGTTACAAGCAAGTTTGCATTCTGCTTACTGACAATTGTTATTATAGTTAGTACAGTGGTCCTATCATAGACTCTGAATCCAGCCAGAGTCATTAGATTTTAATTCTGACTTCCCTTCCTGCCAGCTTTGTGATTTAGGGGAAATTTCTTGAAAATGGGGATAACAGTAGTACCAAAATCATAGGAATGCCGTAAGAACTAAATAAGTTAACATTTATAAGGCATTTTGAACAGCATATGACACTTAAAACACGTTGTTCATAAATAGTAAATGTATATTAATGTTTATCGACATTTTCACAGGACATATTAAATACTGTCCAAAGTAAACAAAGTATTAGTTCTTTTTGTGATTTTCCTGGTAATTTCTCTTTCCTTTGAATTCCACAGAATTTCTTCCAATGTCACAAAGAATGTGTGTGATGAGGGGGTAGAAAGTGTACATATTACAGAAAATTTATTGGAGGTGATACTGTCCTAGCCCAGGCCTGAGAGATGAGTAGAAACCATTGAGGTGAAGTGGGGGAAGGGGACTATTTCAGTCAAAAAGAACTGAATTGAGAAAAAGCAGCACACTACACTACTAGCTTCGATCAAGTTGCATGTGCATATGGAGTGTAAAGAGGAGAGCTGGGCAGATGAGGTTGAAGAGTGAAGCAGAGAAACAACCCCAAACCCTGTATATCTCTTGAAGCAGTTGGATGGTGACAGTTTGCAGGAAGGAAGTGACAGGGTCACAGTTGTGCTTGTGAACACGGGGTCTGGGTGAATGGATGACAAGCACAGAGCATGGGAACAGTTAGGGAGATACCGCAGTTGAAGGCAATGGAAGGTCCAATGTCTTATTAATAAAGAGCAGGGGAGAAGAGTCATCAAAGAAATAATGAAAAAGAATCACATAAGACGGAAGGGTATGAGTCTCCAGGCTGAAAGAGATGACCAGGTATCAGCATGATAAATTAAAAGGGAAAAGAAAAAGTCATATTGTGAAATTAAGTTACCAAAGCAAAGATAAAGAAATAATCCAAAAAGCTTACAGACATTAAAAAAAAATCTACAAAGAACCAAGAATCAGAACAACATGGATACTAGTTAGAAGACAAAGCACTACCTTTAAAATCTGAGGAACTGATTTTTTTTCATTTGAGAATTTTGTACCCAGCAAAACTTGCCAGGATGGTACAATAGACATTTTCATATATGCCAGGATTCAGAAAGCTTCCTTCACCACTCCCCTCCTCATAGAGTTACTTGAGAATGTGCAGCAATACAACAAGGGGATGTGCTGAGAGAGGAGTTGTGAGATCCATGGCTGCAGATGAGCCTTAAGCCGTGAAGGGCAGTTCTATGCTGACACCTGGGCAGCAGTCATGGGGTGACACAGTTTGGCTTGAAAGAGGCAAGAGGGAGAACATCAACTTGGAGATCTCTGAGAAAAAGAACTGCACAGAATGCCTAAATAATGGAGAGTCGCGGTGTGGGAGGACCAACAGCATGAGATGACACCAGAGCAAACAGTTCAAGGGAAAAGAGTGGAATTCAGAAACATCCAGAAAAACTAACATGAACAACATTCTCATAGCCCTGGCACTTCTAAACACCTTGTTTGAAATTGCAACTTTAGAATCAACCTAGAGGTAAAAAACAAAACAACAATCAAAAACCCACACAGTTAACCATGGTTGTAGACAATTTATATGTCACCCATGTGGGTGACATAAAAGAAAGAGTCCAGATGGGAAAACAGGTGAGGAGGAGTAGTTGGGAAGGAGAGATGAGAGATGCTGAGGTGCTGGTCTTACAAAGCATGGAATCAAGAGACGACATCTCTTGTCGATGGAGCAAGAACTGAAAGCCTTATTTAACATGACAAATGTAACCCACCCCGTAACTCAAAACAGTGACCGATGATACTGGTCCGCTAAGGGTCATGCAAGCAAAGGGTGGTGAAAGCCAAATAAGCCCTCCCCTGTTCATTAGTGAACACTGCCCAACGGTTATGAACTTGGGAAGAAGGAAGCAGAAATAACTATTAGAAAGAACAACTGACATATTTAGAAACTGAATCTGTGCTATTTGCATTTTCAGTCGGGCACAGAGATTGGCTAAAAATCACACGCATATATTAGATAAACATTTTAACACATTTAAAGAAGAATCTCTGAGCTCTCTCTCTTGGCCCCGGACTTGCCTGATTCCTCTTGTTCTCCAGCAGCGATGTCTCGTAGAGTTGTGCGTTGTGAAGAACGATCCCACAAAATGCCAAGTACGCGGCGAAGTCCTAGAAAACAGGCCAGACAACATCAAGTGAGAATTGTCTCTACAACTGTCTGGGTCTGTTGCCGGAAACACAAAGGGCATCCAACGTTAGGTAGAGTTGAAATAAATACGGGAGAGCCCGAAGGAGAGATGTTTATTCTACATAAAATCAGGAAATGAGGCAGAGCGGGTGTGAGCGAAGTGGCACCCCCTAGTGGGTGACCAGCACTGACACAGCCTCCTATGTTGTAAGTTAGGTAGACATGAACAATGAGAGAGAGAGTGGTATGGAGACCTGGTCTCTTTATTAGAAATGGGAACCTGCTCTTATGCAAAAACTCGTGTGGCCTCTGAATGTCGGTAAGACTCGAATCCATGCCGAGGAGATGCAAATGGCTTATAACTTCTTTCGGGGCAAATAAAGCTCACGTGCTCCTTAGGAGAAGACGGGCAATTACACTTCCCTCTAAAGTTGCAGATATTAGTTGAATTGTGTTCCTTTTAACAGGTAACTATTGTCCTCAATATACTATACTCAGGTGGTGTGCTCACACTTACATTGCTTGTTGGTTAAAATAGATCTTTACCTGGCACGCTGGACCCACAATCGTGGATTCATTTTGCCAAGTGGTGATACGGCCTAAGGATCCTGGCCTTTCTAGAGGGTTCACATTTCATGAACTATAAACAGATAATGGCACAGAAAGCTGCCTAGAGCCATGCGTCCACCACACACGCTCAGGAGGCATTCACAGACAGGAGAGTGGATGCCCAGGACCCTGACTTTACAGGCACTTGCTTTGTTCTGGAGCAATTTAGACACAGAGACCGACACCAGGGCCAACACAGCCCCAGCGTGGAGACAGAAGTCTTGTCTCCCAAAGCGCCTAACTTTCAGGGAGTGACGGAAACAGCACTGGGCTTGAGTAGGAGGAATTGGAGGGGGGGGCGAGGATGGAGGGCGCTCTGGCACACGTGTAATGCCTCTTCAGGAAGAGGGATAGCAAACCCGCCAGTAGATGCAGCCGTGACCAGATGTGCGGGCTGCGGTCCTGAGCGGAAGCAGATGGTGTGTGGCCTGTCACAGGACAATGCCGACGGCCCGCTTTCTGGAGCTGGTTTGCACGCTCAGCCTGAATGCATGCCTCGGTGCCCTGCGTCCATGTGCCCAGCTTAGAGGACATTGTGATTGGGCTTCACAGGGGGCAGGTCCGACGCCCAGCTGACCTGTGGTGCTAGCCTTGGAGCACGGCTCCAGAGGGTTTACTCGAGGCTGAATTTCTTTTTTTCCTTTTAAATTGATTTTTATTGATTTCAGAGAGGAAGGGAGAGGGACAGAGAGATAGAAACATCAATGATGAGAGAGAATCACTGATTGGCTGCCTCCTGCACGCCCCCTACTGGGGATTAAGCCCGCAACCTGAGCATGTGCCCTTAACCAGAATCAAACCTGAGACCCTTCAGTCCACAGGCCAACACTCCATCCACTGAGCCAAACCAGCCAGGGCAAGGCTGAATTTCTTAATAGCAGTGATGAAAGGTAGTGAGCAAACTGAAAGTCCATATCACCCTCTGTATGGCCCCAATGTGTGTGCACACGCGCATGCACACACACACACACACACACACACACACACACACACTCACACACGCACACATACACGCCGTGGGGGAGGCGTGGCCACACAGAGTGGAGCTAAGTGGATGGCACAGGTTCCCCTGCTGGTCACTGTGTCTGCCACAGGAGGCAACCGGACCATTTCAGAT